CGTGGGTTTGGATCCCTATATAGGGATGGCTGGTTCGCTCACTTGGGAGGCATGGTGCTGAAAACACCAAGTCAAGGTTAAGATCCCCTTACCGGTCATCTTTTTAAAAAACAAACAAACAGCGCAGCGACGCTCCCGCCGCGGGTTTGGATCCTATATAGGAATGGCCGGTGCGCTCACTGAACGAGCACAGTGTGGGCGACACCACACCAAGGGTTGCGATCCCCTTATTGGTCACGAAAAAGACAAAAAAAAAAAAAAAGAGAGAGAGAGAAAGAAAATATCCCCATTTTACTATGAAAAAAACTGTGGCTTACAGAGGATAAGTTATTTGTCCAAAGTAGATCCAGGAAGAGCACATTGTTTTTAACCTTTGCATTAGCAGGTGGTAACCTCCACATGGCATGTGAATTCAAAAAAAGAAACATTCCCACCTAGGTCTGACAGTAAGAGGGGTTAAGTATGAAGATATGAAGATCTCACCACCATCCAGCAGTATTTATCAATGGCAGCACTGACATAAAACAGGGGGGGAGGGTTTAGCACCTCCATCACCCATCAACACTTAAGCTAGCCCAACAAACAGGATCTACAAAGGATGCTCCTCCATCCAAAACCTGCCACACCTACTATCCCTCTTTATAGGCATTCTAGAATTGCCAATATATATGATGTTGAAAGAAAGAATGCCTTTTATTGTCTATCCTTTTCAGTACTGGTTGGATTGATGGCTTCTTATTTTTGTGTTCTGAGAAAAAGATGATGAAAAGACAATACTAAAATAAATTGTATTCAATCCTAGTGATCCATTTCTATGTACTTAAACTTAATAAACATTCTCTATATGCCAAGCAAATCTTACTGGAATTGAAATTTACTACCAATAATATATAGTCACATACCGCATGATGACATTTTAGTCAAGGACAGACCGCATATACATCAGTGATCCCATAGATTATAATACCATATTTTTACTGTACCTCTTTTATGTTTAGATATGTTTAGATACACAAATACTTATCATTGTGTTAGAGTTGCCTACAGTATTCAGTACAATAACATGCTGTGCAGATTTGCAGCCTAGGAGCAACAGGCTACACCATATAGCCTAGGTGTGTAGTAGGCTGTACCATACCATACCATCTAGGTTTGTGTATGTGCAGTCTATGTATGTTGTATGCACAATGATGAAATCACCTAAGAACACATTTCCCAGCATATACCCCATTTAAGCAATGCATGACTATGTGTGCATATATATATATGGGGGTAGGGAAAGGGCCCCTTTGAAAGAAATATACCACTTAATATGTAACTAAAGTAAACATCTAGTTAAGAGTCCAGTTTTGTTTTTAAACATGTAAGTAGTTCAAGAACAAATAAAACTATAAAATACACTGGCTCAGTCTGTTTTGTGCATTTTCCTGGATAACGATATTTTCAATTGTGTTTAGATTTGCTAATAATTCAAACTAACTGGCCCCTCACAATAGTTTGGAATATTTCAGAATTTAAATAATTCTGAGGCCCTGTGGGAGGAAGGGGAGGTGGTATGTACTCGCCACAAAAACCAAGAGAAAAAGCAGAACTAGGTCCTTTCCTGTTTATTCCAGATCATGCTAAGTCAGAGCTGGTATTCAACTTGGTCTTTCCTGACCTGAAGGTCTATGCTCAGGCTTCAGTAATCCAATTAATACAGTAACCTCCAAAAATCAGACATCATTCTCTGTAAGAATTTAGCTTACATTATTTTTTAAATGGGGGGCGGGGGGGGACACATAGATTCATGAATTGGACACATGCTCCAAATGCTTTGATGAACATTTCAATGGAAATTTTGCAGACCTGTACTGTGAACAGAAATAAAAAGAGCCAAGGCAGTTTCACATCCATAGCCCCAAATCTAATCTTCATTACTCTCATAGAAGAAACAACCAATGAGAAAATAAATCATTAAGAGATATCCATAACAAGCTAAATCAAAAGAAATACCTTATATTTAACTAACTTAGGCTTCAAGTAATCTAGATATCAATACCCACTTCCTAAAATACCCTCCTAGTCTGATCATAGCAGAGTTAAAAAAATTCAAATAAACTAAGCTAAAATAAAATAAAATGAGCTCACACACACATTTTCTATATAACAAAATGCCTGTCAAAGATTGCCTGAATCCAGGATATCTAAAATATTAACATCAAAATCCCAAGACAAATTAAAAACCAATGGTAAACCTGATTGCTTTTTCAATGATGCAGCTACCTTTAACTCTGAATAACTTGGGACTAGAAGGCTGGCCTGATGAAGTGCAAAGAACTACAGTCTACAAGTCAGGGACGTGGGTTCTAGTTCAGTTGATGCTACTAGCTAGATGGGTACCCTAAGCAAGTAACTTACTTTCTCTCCTTCTCTCTTTCTCAGGGTTTACTTTCCTTATTCAGGAGACTGACTAGAACAGTGTTTCCCAAACTCACCTAACCATAAGAATGACTTCAGGGAAACTGTTAACAACATGGATTACAACACCCCTTCCCCACAGATTCTGCCTCAGGAGGTCTCTGAGTGAAGCCTAGGACCTAATTCTTAACAAGTGACCCAAGTAAACCTTATCATCTGGTAAGTTTGGCAAACACATGATCTACAAGCTGCCGGCCTTCCTGCTCTGATTCTATACTATCCAAATAATTCATAATGATGTTCTAAAAACACACAGAATTGTAAAAGTTTAATGTATGTTACTACACTAAAATAAATGTACAAGATCATAAAAACAAATGTTTCCACCCCCTGTGACACCATTCATACCTTTAAACACCAATAAAAAATATTCTTCTAGATTCTAGTTAAGTGGAACACTTTATTGGGTGAAAAGAAAAAACCTTTTAATATTAAACTCTCAGTATATTAATATGGACAGACTTGAGTTATAGAAAAAGAGAACTGTATACCTACTGTTTTAAGTGAAAACTGTACACTGTATTCTTCCCTTGAAGAACAAGATTATCTACTGATCCCACCTGTTCCTAACTAAGAAAAAGCTAGAAAAAAGCCTAAGTCCCTAGCAGCTATAAACAGCATGCTCATATGGAATGCAATTGTTACAAAGCTGAAAGAAAACAATGAAACAATAATTGGTTACTACTTCTTCAAATCCACTTCAGAGTAGACAACTGGGGGGTTAAGAGCCCACAATCTTTTGTTAGGAAGGTTTTGTCAGGCAACTGAAAAGCCTCTAGGTGCTTTTCCTTCCCCTACACAATTTTGTTTTAGACAGTCTTTATAAAATTCTCATAATCCTCTTGTGGGATTTACTGAGTTTATTCTCTTATTCAGATTTACTAAGTAACTATAAAACTAACAGAAGAAAAATAGAAAGACTGCATGGATCATAGAGGGGCAGAGTTGTAAAGGATGCTCATTAGCAGTCAATTATATAGGTAGCTACAAAAAATGTACATAAAATCAAGATTAAAACACAAAACTGAGTTTGACAAATTACTGTGTGACCCTGCAACAGAAACAGATAAGAAACCAAGCGTGAAACATTATTATATAATTTAGCTATTAGAGAAAAACAGTTGTTGAATTCTCATTAAAGCAGCAAACTAGTATAGTACAATATTAGTATAAAACATTTTCAAAATGAATCTTGATGCTTGACATGTAAGTATTGTAAACAGAAATCTTTGGATTAGGGATTACACAGGCCAAAGAAACTGATTGGTTTTAATGGCAAAAATGGGGACACCAATTCTTATACACAACATCATAGAAGCATTGGGTTTAAAGCCATATGTATGTTTAAAAACATTTCTGTGTCTATTGCCCAATAGGCTCTGATGTAATGTTTTGACAAAAGACCAAATCTCACACTCAGTAAAATAGAAATGTAAAGTCAGGAGCAAGGGGACCAGCATAATAAAATGGTTAAGAGAACAAGTTCTGCTGTCACACAGACTTGACTTAAAACCCAAACCAACAAATTACTGTGCACCCTTGAACAAATCATTTAACCTAAGCTTCAATCTCTTCATTTGTAAAAAGGAGATAAAGCTTCATTCAGCTATTATGAGATTTAAACAAAGTGATTCATGTAAAGCACTCAGACCTGTACCTGGCACAGAGTAAACAGGTAAGTAATAATAATAAACTTCACCAACATCATGATCAAACTGCAAAATTAACATCATTACTATCTTCCAACTTCAAGTAAAGCTAAGAGTTTCCTGGTAGCCAGGCAAAAAAGTACTAATCATGAGAAAGAACACATTCACGAGACTTAAAGGTAGCTTTTCTTTCCACATTACAGAACCTTCTATTTCTCTACTCTTATTAAAGAATAACTCAGACTAATTCTACAGCTATATACAGGAAAGGCTCCAATACATTCTTAATTAGGAAGGGTAATTTTCAATGAGATCTGGATTAATGATCTAACCAACTTGGAGGAATTACAGTTGGTACTGTTGGGGATATTTGTTCTGTTCTTGTTTTTTGGTAATGGAGAAGTCAGGAGAGAGGGAAAGAGAAAAAAAAGCCTTAAAAACATCCCACATGCTATTATTCAATACAGAAAAACAACAGAAGGTTGACTGTTAACATTATGTCATAACTGAATTATAAAATGAAGAAAAAAGGTGAAATGTTTTAACACTTACATAGAAAAGAATATAACTGATAGTAAGGTTAAAGTGACCAAACCCATCAAAAAAAGATCCAAGAAAGGGAAGGATGAAAATTCAATTATCCTCTAGTTTCAGTAGCAAACACTCATTCCATCTTTTTAAGATCATAGCTTAAATTTCCCACTTGCAACCAACTGTGTTTGCCTGCTGTTCCTAAAATGTCACTAGCTTGAATGCACCTTTAACTTGTACTAACTACTTAACCAAATACATCATTTTGGTTAAGGACAAAAATAAAATCTTGTGGTTATTTTCCTAGAATTCATGAGAAAATATCATTTAATGAATACATTTCGAGAAAAAATACTTTGAGGTGAATTTGGGGGAAGAAAAATTCCTTTGTTCCTCCTGAAAATAATGTCATAAGAAAACTGTTCAAGGACAACCAAAAAAATTTTTCAAAATAATGCAAATTTTGAGTAGGATCAGAATTAATGAGCTGATCTACATTATCAGAGAAAAAAGATAGAGAAGTAAAGACTCCAGCAGAGTACAAACTAGTGTTATCAATCCATCAGTAGATGTGCAAAAATTCTGAATAAAAAAATTATACAATAAATTATCTGTATTAATATTGGGAAACCTAGCAGTAGAAAGAATTTCAGAGGCATTTTCAAGCATTTCAGGATATTTTTCTGCATTATAGATATTACTGCAAAATCAAAGAAGAGACTAGTTAGATGTTCTAATTAACAACACAGCAATGAAAGAATGACACCCCCAAAGAAGCTCCATCACCTAGAGATACTGGACATTTTCTTTCCAGTATTTAAGAATCCCAGAAGAATCTTCTGCTTTTAAATGCAAATTACCAATCTCTGAAGCACATTCTGCTCTACTCCTTTATATGAAAATCACTGCAATGGGTTTCTGTTCTAGAGAGGGCACCATTCAGCCAGGAAAATGGAATTAGGACAACCACAGACTCTATGAGTACGTTCAGATCATCACATCCAGTGAACTGTCACCAGGTACACACGGCCTTTTTCAAGGGAGACCACTATCAGTGATCTAAATTCTATTCGAGGGAGGAAAACTTAGTTTTGAGGACTGTCGGGTCGTAAAAGGTTACATATACATTTCAGTACGGGAACATGCACTAGCATCATAGCTATTAAAAAACTCAGCATCCCTTGATTTTCAAATAATACTAGCTATTTACTAGAAGCTTTCAGAATTTCAGTAATAATTGTACAAGCTGCCATTTACCTGTTTCATTACCTGGTAAAACATACAAAAAATACCATAGTGCAAGAAATAATGTTCTGTGTAAGTTCATCAGACTCTCACTTCTTCCTCTTCCCTGTTAAACACCCTAGAACAGTGAGAGTTGACTTGGAGACATGCTTCAATTTAATATTATCAGTTGAACATGGTTAAAAAAGAACACTTTTAAACTGGAAAGAGTCAAGAAATAAATGAACTATAATTAATAGAAGGATTCATCCTAGTGTTAAAGGTTCAAGCTTTCTGCTAAAGCCACTGTGTGGTTTCTGTGACTTGGTTTGGGAAATTTTACAAGTATCTGTTGTCAAGTAAATGTAAACAAATAGTGAAGAAAGCTTGACAAGATATAGCCTTATAAAGGGTTAACTTACCTCTAGTCTTTCTAAAATTATATACTAATAACTAATTTTAGGTTTTTTAAAAGCCTGTTTTCTAGCTAAGCCAAGTCACATCCAAAATGAGTGAATGTTTTGGTGGTACTTGGCTTACCCCAACTCCTATCCTCAAAGGCAGACTTCAATCTTCCCCACAGACTCCCAGACAACCAGGAATAGAAGCTATAGAAAATGCACTTCCAGTCTTTAAAACGTCAGTGTGGATGTTTAAGGAGGAAGAAAAGGATTCACTGAGTTTAGAAAATCTATTTAAATGTTTTCAAATGCCCGCGATTTGAAATGTACATGTCAACCAAATGGCATGGCATTAGCCAGTCCCTACTTTAGTCTACCCACTCAGAACCCACACAATGAATTCAGCAGATCCCTTAGGACCAGAGTTCCCCGGGGGGTGGGGGTGGGGGATTAATATGCACAGAAATTTCGGAGCTTGATTTTGATAATGGGAAAAAGTAAGTGACGGTAGTCTTGCGCTTATAAAGAACCTAGAAGCACTTACTAGTTCAATCCGTCCCCAAATCCATGCCACCCCTTCAACTTTGCAATTAACAGAGAAAAGGAGAAATTCCGGTCAACTCGCCTTGGGGGGTTGATCTGAGGGTAGAGGACTCAAGTAGGGAGGAGGATGGAGAGAGAAAGAGCAAGCCAACGAAAGATACCAAAATTTCCCACCTTTCTTAAATTCTTCCAGCATAGCGTCCAACTTCGTGTCATTGAAAACAAAGTGCAAGGGGTGGTTATAAAATCTGGTGATGGTTTTCAGGGGAGTACAGTCGTCTGGATCCACGAAGGCCAAGTCTTTGACAAAGAGCAGGTCCACGATGTTGGAGCGCTCCCCCTCAAATACTGGAATGCGAGTGTAGCCGCTCTCCATGATCTCTGACATGGTGTTAAAGTCCAGGATGGCCTCGCCGGTGATCATGAAGCAGTCCCGGAGGGGAGTCATCACGTCCTCCACCGTCTTGGTGCGGAGTTCCAGCGCCCCTTGAATGATGTTCAATTCTTCCTTAACGAGGTCGTTGTAGGGGTCGGTGACCCGGAGCATCTCCAGCAGTTTTTCCCGGTTATAGACGGTGCCTATCTCCTGGCCCAGGACGCAGTCCAGCAGCTTGCTGACCGGGTAAGAGGCGGGGAAGGTCATCATCATGAAAAATTTGGTGAGGAAGATGGTGTTGGCCCCTACAGCCAGGCCATGCCGGGAGCAGATGGCCTGGGGCACGATCTCCCCGAAGATGACGATGCCGATGGTGGAGACCACCACGGCCACGAGGCCGGAGCCGGCGATGTCGTCGAGCAGAATGGTGAGCGTGGTGTTGACCAGCACGTTGCCCAGCAGCAGCGAGCACAGCAGGTAGTTGCCCTGCCTGCGCACGGGCTCGATGCGCTTGGCGTAATTCTTCTCCTTCTCGGTGCCGCAGTTCTGCACGATGCGTAGCTCCATCGGGTCCAGGGCCATAAGCCCCAGGTTGAGGCCGCTGAACATGCCCGACAGGCACAGCAGCAGCGAAATGAAGATCACCTGCAGCCAGAAGGGCAGCAGGAACTTCTTCTCCTCGCCCACAATCATCTTGGTGTCCTCGCCGTCGTGGTAAATCCAGGTGGTTTCGGCCCACGGGGGCGGCGGGAGCCCGGACACCCCGGAGCCGCCCTTGCCCCCGACGGTGCCCCCCGCGGACCCCGGGCCGCCGGCGCCCAGGGCCGGCGTGGAGAGCGAGGTGCACAGGTAGTAGGACTTGCTCTTCTCCATCTTGCGCAGCGGTTTGATCTCGATCTCGATGATGCCCGATGTACGGCGGTTGAGAATGATGTGGGGCAAGATGATGATGTCTGAGGTGCGGATGCCGCAGCG